TTTGCTTCGGGCTTGGGGGTCGAGGATTCGAAGGACGGGTTTGCATTTTAGTTTGTCCCCCGGGCGCTATTCGAATCGATCGGGCTTCCAGCCACACCTGTTGGGCCTATGGAGCGCGAACACGAGGATTTTGCGTCCATTCGGGTCTGAAAACCAAGTTGAAGCCCCCCTGGGCTGAGTTGCCTCAGACTCGGCCGCATAAGGACTACAGGTCATCTAGGCGAGGCCTCTCCCTGAAAGGGCTCGTTCGGGTCTTGAAGCACTACTGGAGTGTACTCCCACCGTTCCTGGGCGAGGTAGCCCTCGTGCGAGAGACTTTGGGGCCTGGGATGAAAGTTCGTGTCCGTTGTTGTTTTCGAGCCAGAGAAACCCAAAATGTCCCCCCCTTCCCCCCCGGAATTACAGTCTCGAGCCCCCAGAACGAGCGTTTCGGGCTTCTTTAGGCTGCCTAGGCTTAGGGCCTCGAACTGAAGCACCTCCGCCCTACAGGGAGCAGATCCTCTCCATGGCCTTCACCGGATGGCATCAACACCATCGAATCTCGCAGGCCTTGACTAGATCAGTGTTAGGGGTCCTTTTTACTTTTGGGTTATGCGCTTTCTTATATATGAACAAAAAGGATCCGTTTTTCTTCCTAGGGGAACAGGGATTAAGTTGAAAGTGTGTGGTTTTTGGGCTTAGGGGCTGTAGGGCGCCCAACGGAGTGGAGGCTCGGGGGGGTGAGCGCTTTGGGCTTCTAAGGGATTTAAGGCTACCAGGCGTTTGACGTTTGGGGTTTTCTCTTCTATAGGCCCCGATCATGTCATCCCAAAACCGCGACCTGCAAAGACATAGCTGCCAATGAGCTGCAGTAGAACCGGTTCACCCCGCAAGGAGTTTTGTTGGTTACCGCGATTCATACTTCAGGGGTGGGGTGGCCAATGAATCTGGTTCCTGTATTAGCCCCTTTGTAAAACCAAAAAGGGCACCCTGCTTTTATTCCTAGGTTCTTCTTGTGTTTAGGACTCTGAGGAATAAACTTTCGGGAGCGCTCCCACAAGATAGCACGCCTCAGCCGTCTCGTACCCGGCTGCAAAGAAAGACTCTTGCTGCAAAAAAGACGGCTCCACGGATAGCAGCAGGGACACCTCAGGCGGGACGGTCATGGGAGACTACCTTGGACCCCTAAGGTTGTGCCCTTGGGCGTTTCTTCCTGTAACGGAACATACGCCACAGTCGGAGCATATTCAGGGAAGTTCTCTTAGGGGTACAACCCTCGGGATCCGATACCTTCATCCCTGACCCCTGATCCCCCCCCCCCGCCCGAAGCACGTTTCCAGGATCCCTCCCTTCGTCTCCAAAAAGGTGGGGCTGAACAGCCCTATGCCCTACACGGCTCCCTACGCCCGAAAGCCTGGCAAGTTCTAAACCCCGGGCGAATCCTGAGCACAAATTTCCGAAACGTGTAGGCCGGGTCTCATGAAGAGTTGAGGGTTGGGGTTCAGGGTTGAGGGTGGGAGAGCAGCCACCGCAAGGGTGAGAGTCATGGGGCCTGCTAAACCCTAAACCCCCACAACTAACACCCTAAACCCCAAACCCCAAACCCTAAACCCTAAACCCTAAACCCCAAACCCCAAACCCCAAACCCTAAACCCTAAACCCTTGTCATCCCAAAACACTTCAGATCAAGCCAGTCCATGCAAAGAACCACCACTTCTTCGAACCCTCACGCTGCGTCCCCCAAAGGCCTTCAAAGGGGGCCCCCGAAGCCCTCAAAGTAAACCCCTCAACCCTGAGCCCTGAACCCTTAAACCCTTTAAAACGATCTAAGGGCTTAGCAACCCTAAGCCCTAAGCCCCAAAAACAGGGCTGTAAACTCCCTAAAACAGGCGGTTTAAACTGCCTAAACCCTAAATCCTAAACCCTAAAACAGTCGTTTGACCTTCTTAAACCCTACACCCCATATTCGGGCGCTTAAGGGGGGCTGATAAGTCGCTAAGAAGTACCATGAACCTCCAAGTACTGGCTAAACCCTAAACCCTAAACCCTAAACCCTCAACCCTAAACCCGAAACCCTAAACCCTAAACCCTAAACCCTAAACCCTAAACCCTAAACCCTAAACCCCTCAACCTCACGGCCCAGGGACAATCCAGGCGCCACAACTCCGTTGCCGAGGTGTCCCTGTTGAAGATCACAAGGCGCGCGCGGCCCAACCCTACTTGGAGGGTTTAGGGTTTCGGGTTCAGGGTTTAGGGTTTAGGGTTTAGGGTTCATGGGTAGTTGTAAGAAGGGCTAGAAGTACCCTTAAGGACGGGTATAGGTATAGTTGCTATACTTCAATGAGGCGAGTTATAACTGTCCATGAACCTCCAAGTAGACGCCCAACCCCAGACCCTACATGCAAGTTCTAAGCTCGCCAAACCCCCTGAAACTCCCGAGGCCCCCCGCCAAACCGTTAAACCGACTCCGACGTTTCCTGAAGCCAAAAACCTGTTGAGTGAGATGAAAGAGCCGTGAATCTTTCGGGTATATTAGGGTTTAGGGTTTACAGTTCAGGGCAAGTTTAGGGTTTAGGGTTTAGGGTTTAGGGTTTTGGGATTGTTGGGAATAAGGCTTTTGATCCCGTGTGCCAGATGTTGGACCAGGACTGAGCGGCGAGGAAGGAATGACAGGAAGAATACCAAAGGACGGGTCTCATGTTCACTCTTTCTTCCTACCTTTGCCCGCGAATGAGCTCACTATCAGGCTATGAAAAGCATGTAAACACAGTGGGCACAAGAAAGCTCCAAGAAAGGTAGAATGCTTCCTGCATGATTTGTTCCCTGGCAGTCAATGGTGAAAAATGATATTGCTCTGTTGCTACATTACTATAGTATTATAATTTTATTCCCTTATATGATCGTGCTATTATCTTATGATACTATGATACTACGAGATTAGGATATTATGCTATTATGATATAAGGATATCACTAAACTACTACACTGTATGACTAGGATGTTTCATTATTGGGTAGTCGACGGCGGTGTCGAAGTGCGGAGTGCCCGAGTGGATCCCGATAGTCCCTAAACCCTAAACCCTAAACCCTAAACCCTAAACCCTAAACCCTAAACCCTAAACCCTAAACCCTAGACCCTAGACCCTAGACCCTAGACCCTAGACCCTAGACCCTAGACCCTAAACCCTAAACCCTAAACCGCAAGCGCTTTCTGATGTACAGGGAGCAAGGATTGGGGTTCCTGTGCAAGTCCAGATGTGACCGCACGTCTGCCAGTTCGTTTCTTCACATGCTCCTTCAAGTGTTTTCCTAGATGTACCCCCTGGTTTAGGGTTTAGGGTTTAGGGTTTAGGGTTTAGGGCCCTGTATTTTGCGTCTGTTTGACCCTAAACCCTAAACTCTAGACCTTAACCGTGAAACCCTGAAGTGGAGCCACCAGCAGTCGCTAGGGGCCTCGTGAGCGACTCCTTCGCGATCTGGAAAGAGACTAGCCGCTCCGAGAGGCATCTCCGAGAGGGAGAGGCTTTAGGATTTTCAGGGCTTAGGGCTTCAAGGGTTTTTGGGGTTAGGATTTTAAGGGCTTGGGGTTTAGGGTTTAGGGCGCTTAGGATGTTGGAGAGGGCTTAAAGGGTTTAAAGGGTTTAAAGGGTTTAAAGGGTTTAAAGGGTTTAAAGGGTTTAAAGGGTTTAAAGGGTTTAAAGGGTTTAAAGGGTTTAAAGGGTTTAAAGGGTTTGAAGGGTTTGAAGGGTGGGTTCTTGGCCTGACTGGGATTCCAGACGGTGCCCTGTACATCCCTTCAAGAAGGACCGGGTGGCTTTCTCAACGCGGAAGCATGGGCCCTTAGGATGGTCTCTTACCCTTGCTTACAAGAATTTACAAGGATTTAGAGGGATCCGAAGTATGGGCCGTACTCTGAAAAGTGTATGTCAGGGAGAAAAAAACCGGGGACCCAAATCTAGGGCCCATGCCTCGGATCCCCTAATGGGGGGGGGGGGGGGTTACAGGGCGCGCTCGACCTAGGGGTTCGGATGGCTAGGGTTTTGGGGTTTGGGGTTTAGGGTTTGGGGTTTGGGGGTTTAGGGGTTTAGGGGATTAGGGGTTTAGAGGTTTGGGGGGCTTAGGGGTTTAGGGGTTTAGGGGTTTAGAGGTTTGGGGGGCTTAGGGGTTTAGGGGTTTAGGGGCTTAGGGGTTTAGGGGTTTAGGGGTTTAGGGGTTTAGGGGTTTAGGGGTTTAGGGGTTTAGGGGTTTAGGGGTTTAGGGGTTTAGGGTTTTAGGGTTTAGGGTTTTAGGGTTTAGGGTTTTAGGGTTCTACGGTTTGGTGTGTAATTGGGGATTGCGGGGTTTTGTTTTCAGGGCTTGCTACACCGATTTGAGCAGCAGAGCTCAGAGGAACTCCCAGACACTCTTTTAGTGGCCCTGAACAAAAAACCTTATAACATCTACCCCACAAGCCTCTTCTCTACGACCCTCTACAACGCTCTTCCAAAGAAGGGTAGGGCGTGCGAGGGGAGGGCAAGGGGCAGGGCGTGTGTATTGGGGGGGTAGAGGGAGTTGAAGGGGCGGGGGTTGGGGTGGGGTAGGGGTAGGGTAGGGAGTAGGTGAGGGGCTCACCAACGCCCACGCGTGGAGTGGGTGGATACCCTCTATGACCTAACCCTCTAGAAGCTGCTCTATGACCCTCAATATCCTCTCCATCCTCGAACCCTGTCATCCTTAACCGTTAACAGGGGCCCTCCATCCCCCATATTATTCGTCCCACTCTTCCCATAGGCTGGCGTACCTTAAGGGGAGCCTAGGAGGGGTAGTATCGGGGGAGGGGGGTGGCAGGGGCGGACACAGGCTGGATTACTTGAAGCACGAGTTGCTCCGAACGCGGAACTCGCTGAAGCTGCGTGGAGCCCAGGGCAGGTGCTAGAGTCTGCGCTTCCAAACATGCTGCACACTGTAATCCGAACTGACAAACCCCAATCCCTCTGCCCGCTCCCCTAAACCCCTAAACCCCCTAAACCCCCTAATCCCCCTAAACCCTACACCTACAATCAACTCTCAACCCCGGCTGAAACCTTAAACTATGAACATCAAGGAGCTCTTGAGGAATGATCCCGCACGGATGGACTGCCAACCCAAGTTTCTGAGGGTCCGAGCTGTTTGTCTCTTACTTGTTTGCTATCCTTTCCTTCTTTGTTGGGGGGGAGAGGGGGGGGGCTCCTGAGGCAATAGCCCAGGTGCTGGGGCTTTCGTCAAAAAGACCCAGCATGGGGCCGCAGAGAAAACTGGGCCTCCCGGACTCCTTGTGGGTTGGCCGAAATTTGGGGGGAGCGGGGGTTAGGGTTTAGGTTTAGGGTCTAGGGTCTAGGGGTAATTGGAAAGTTCGTGAGCATACAAGCAGCGTTATGCATACTGAGTAAGTTTAAGGTTAAAGCCAGAGCCAGCCGATTCTGACTTAAAACCCTACGTACAAGTAACCAGACTGATGTGTCTCAATCTTAAGTAGAAGTGGGTCTGCTTGAAGGAGTTTAAGGTGCCTGTACAGTTCGGGATTTGGGGGGGGGGGGCCTTTTGTTTCCCGTGGCCCTCATGTGAAGGAATGCCATATACGTTCATGTACTGACCCCCGGCTCTCCCCCCCCCACCCTAGATTCCTCGATGCTAGGTCCTAGACCCCAAACTAGGTATCGATTTTGGAGAATTTTTAATTTTCCATATTGTTTAATATAGGGCCCTGATTATAAATTTTGGGGCCTGTTGAAATCGACCCCAAGCAAAAGTTCTTGAGCAAATAGTAAAACCCTCTACATTGCCCTCAACCCGTAAACCCTGAAACCCTGATTAAACCCAAACCCTTATATAGGGACGAACATACGTACGTTTTAGGGGTTCCTGAGCAAGTAGTAGATACAAGCCCTAAACCCTAAACCCTAAACACTAAACACTAAACCCTAAACCCTAAACCCTAAACACTAAACATCGAACACGAAGTCGAGGTTCGAAAAGGAGCTCGAGGAGGCCAAGCAGCGTGGCGAGCTTAGCCGCTTCAACCTGGTTGCCCCCTTACTGAACCCTAAAACCCTAAAAAATCTAACACCCTTAAACCCTAAACACCCTGAAACCCCTAAAACCCAAAAAAATCTAAAGCCCTGAAGCCCCTGAAACCCGAAAAAATCTAAAGCCCTGCAAACCTAAACACCCTGAAACCCCTAAAGCCCTGAAGCCCTAAAGCCCTAAAGCCCTAAACCCCCAAACCCCCAAACCCCCAAAACCCCCAAACCCCCAAAACCCTAAAACCCTAAAACCCTAAAACCCTAAAACCCCTAAAAACCCTAAAACCCTAAAACCCTAAAACCCTAAAACCCTAAAACCCTAAAACCCTAAAACCCTAAAACCCTAAAACCCTAAAACACTAAAACCCTAAAACCCTAAAACCCTAAAACCCTAAAACCCTAAAACCCTAAAACCCTAAAACCCTAAAACCCTAAAACCCTAAAACCCTAAAACCCTAAACCCTAAACCATACCCTCCCCCCCCCCTAAAACCCCCCCCAAAACCGCTTGGCAAGGATGTTACATGAGCACCACAGGAATAACCGCTCATCTACATGACGTGGGTGGGAAGACTCTGCCAAAATTAGCTCCCCCCCGGACAGATCTCACGATAACAACTCTTGTCAGGAGCTTTTTGCGGCAAGCAATGGACCCTAAACCCTAAACCCTAAACCCTAAACCCTAAACCCTAAACCCTGAACCTTAAACCCTGAACCCTGAACCCTGAACCCTGAACCACGAACCCTGAACCCTAAAACCGCCGCCGCCCCTAAACCCTACTGAGGGTTCAAAGGGTGCGTATCAGTAGGTGGTTGTGGTGTGCACATCACTACAACCAGTAAAACCCTGCCTGTTTGCAACAATCTATGAACCTGCAAGTAAACCCTCGAGACGACGAGGCCGTCGCGAGGAGCTCGTGTCGCGGTTTATGTCCACCTCGACGTCCATGAAGTCCCAGTTCTTGAAGGCCATGGGTTTAGGGTTTAGGGTTTAGGGTTTAGGGTTTAGGGTTTAGGGTTTAGGGTTTATTGTTTAGGGTTTAGGGCTTAGGATTTAGGGTTGTGCATTTGTGGCTTCGGGTTCATGCTAGGGTCCTCTACCCTACCTTAAGAATAAGAAGGGTAGGCCATGGTTCCAAAACCCCGACTTCTTAGCCAGCCTGCAAGAAAGAGTAGGCTATGGCTTCTGGGAAGATGGACCTGCCAAGACGCCCCCAGGCTCTTAGAGGGTGATGTTTGGATGTGCGAGAGGGGGTTCAAGGGGAGTATGCAACCCAAGGCTCCCGAAGGCTCCCGAAGCTTCCCGAAGGTTCCCTAGATACCTACCCCCCATGAACCCCCTCCCAACAGGACCCTATAAGTTCGTTTGGGGTCGGCAGACCATCCGCTGGAGTTGCTAATGTCCCGGTTGAAATCCCTAAACCCTAAACCCTAAACCCTCAACCCTAAACCCTAAACCCCTACACCCTAAACCCCTACACCTGAAGCTGCAACTCGTAGCCCCGGATTGCTCAGCCTTCAAAGGCGTGGCAACCCCAAGAAACTGACGCTCCTAAACCCTAAATACCCTCAACCTTAGCCCCCCCCCCCCCCCACCCGCGTAGGCTTTAGGGTTCTAGTGGAAATGTATAGGATTTGTGTCCTTGGTGTGTGCTGGAGCCCGCCGAGGGCATTTTGGCGCTTTGCGGTCCGCGTGCTTTTTTAGCCCCGGGACTGTTGTGGACAGGGTACCTGATTCCCTCACTCCCAAGGTTTGTGGAGTTTTTTGGAGACGGATGTTTACATAGTGCCGATTTGTTTAGACGATTAGCTTTGCACATTCCGAATTGCATGTTGTCAAGTACGGAGGTTTATGTAAATTGAGCATTTGGTCCCCAAGGACGTTTGGGATCAATTCACTTAGGCTCTGTTTGGGGAGTGTTGGTTGGCGAGCTGGGTTTTGTATGGTGCCAGCTTATTGGACACACAACTCTTGAGGGTTTAGCGGTAGTATATGGGCCGGAAAATTGCTACTAGTATTCCTTTATGGTCCCTGGATTGTTTTGTCCCTCTATTGTTTTGCTATAACATGCCCCAAAACCCTGTTCGAAATCTTAGGGCCCCTAGCTAGGATGCCCAGTAGTGCCCTTATTCCCTTTTTTGGGGGGTTTAGGTTCCCTTATAAACCCCTTTAAGCAACAAAGGGCACCCTTTTTCAGCCTTGGTTACTGGGCAGCCTAGCTAGATTATTGGCCCTGCCAAACTGCCCAACCCCCCTGCCTGGAGGCCTGGCGCGTCCAAGTGGAGGAGCGCCTGCGCCGTGGCCTCAGCCGTTGCGCCGAGTGTTGGCTTCAGGGCTTACAGTTTTCGCTGTAGGATTCTTATAGTTTGTTTTTGTTTTTTTTTTTTGGGGGGGGGGCTTCTGGTATAGGATGTTTAGGGTTGCAGGGTTTACACGGCTATCAGGGTTAGGGTTTAGGGTTTAGGGTTTAGGGTTTAGGGTTAAGGGTTTAGGGTTTAGGGTTTAGGGTTTAGGGTTTAGGATGTTTAGGGTTTAGGATGTGTAGGGTTTAGGATGTTTAGGGTTTAGGATGTTTAGGGTTTAGGATGTTTAGGGTTATAAGGTTCATGGATTCATGGGGCTTGCAGGATCTACAAGGGTGATAGCTCTGGGACTCAGGAGCTTGAGATCAAGTCCTGGCACCGCAACACCCTTGGGTGTAGGGAAGTTGCAAGGGTTATAGGGCTGAGGGTCATACTGTTTGGGGTTTAGGGTCTAGGGTTTGGGGTTATAGGGTTCAGGGTAAGCTCCGAAAGTCGAGCGGAAGGTTCACGGGACTTAGATGGCTCAGAACCGCCATTGCTGCCACGTAAGTCACTTGAACCCGAATCCCTAAAGCCCTAAGAACCCAAAACCCAACCCAAAACCCAAAACCCTAAACCCTAAACCCTAAACCCTAAACCCTAAACCCTAAACCCTAAACCCTAAACCCTAAACCCTAAACCCAACACCCTTCGATTAGGGTTGGGTTCAGACCCGCCTTGCCACATTCAGGCTGAAATATGGAGCAGCATTCAGCGTTTAGGGTTTAGGGTTTAGGGGCTTGGGTTATGGGCAGAGACTGCCACACACACCCAAAAACATGAGCAATTTGTGCCCACAAACCCCAAACCCCAAACCCCAAACCCTAAACCCTAAACCCAAAATTCCTGAACCCTAAACCCTAAACCCCCAACTCACGTTCACCAAGTCCCATACCGAGGCAAAGCCCAGCGATCGGCCGCCAGTCTGAGATGGCTAGGCTTTAGCGGTTTTGGGTTTAGGGCTTAGGGCTTAGGGCTTAGTTTAGGTAGCTTTGCAGCCGGAGCTTGCTCCAGTTAGGCATGGACATTTCGTTTGCTTTGGTGAGACCTGCGCCCAGCCCGGAAGGCCTCACGCCGACTTTAGAGTTTAGGGTTTAGGGTTTAGGGTTTGGGGTTTAGGGTTTAGGGTTTAGGGTTTACTAGGGACTTTAACCAGCTATAATTGTACTGATAGCCCACTTAGAAGCCTCCTAAGTGCCTTAATATGGTTCTAGGTACACCCACAGGACGCCGAGGCCCTCAGTCTCCAGTCCCAAACCCCAAGACCCCCAAAGCCCCAGAACCTAAAACCCTAAAGCCCCTAAACCCGCAAAACCCCTAAACCCTAAACCCTCAACCCTCAACCCTCAACCCTCAACCCTCAACCCTAAACCCTAAACCCTAAACCCTAAACCGCCTTTTGCCAATCCCAGGCCGTGGCCTTGAGAATTGCGGTTCGTGGGGATGAGGCCCTGAAGGTGCCAAGAGGGGGAACCGGGGGGGGGGGGGGGTGAGTGTAGGGTTTAGGGTTTAGGGTTTAGGGTTTAGGGTTTCGGGTTTGGGGTTTCGGGTTTCGGGTTTCGGGTTTCGGGTTCAGGGTTCAGGGTTCAGGGTTTAGGGTTTAGGTAGGGCTATTTCACATTTCTCTTACTTCCGGGTGGTCCGATTCAGATGTTCAGAGCAACCGGCCACGTGCAGCTGAGTGTTGAAGCCTTCGTCGAGGGGCTGAGAGTCTGTAGGGCTGACTGATGGGTTCACCCTCAGGAATTAAACTGCGGGACTAGGGGCTTAAGGGTTTAGGGTTTAGGGTTTAGGGTTTGGGGTTTAGGGTTTAGGGTTTAGGGTTTAGGGGGTGCATGATGTGCTTCTGGGTGCTTCAGCTCAAGAACTTCGGGCGCAACCTGGCCCGTAAGCTCCCAATTGCAAGAAGCCCCGAAAACAGGAACCTTACAAGCCCTAACCCCTAAACGCCCCGAAGCCCTGCACCTCTTAAACCCTACAAGCCCTAAACCCCTAGTTAGACCTTACCCGTAGATCCCCACACCCAAAACTACCCTAAACCCTACACCCTACTAGTAAACTGAAAACTTTGTCATGGTTGGGTACCATTTTGAGTTGTTAAGGGTACTTAAACCCTATAAGGAATAACATTTCCAATCTTCATTATTATCCCAACCATTTTAAATTTTTAAGGGTACTTAAACTCTATAAACTAGAAAATGGGGGGGCGCATTCCAGAGACCCCCCTGTCAGGCCGACGTCCTTGCCAGCTGGGTCAGGGAGGCGCCAAGCCGTGAGGAGTTGAGGGTTCAAGGTTGTTTAGGGGTTAGGGTTTAGGGTTCAGGGTTCAGGGTTGAGGGCCTAAGCCTCGTTTCCATACCCTCAACCCGGTTTGGCAAGTTAGTGTTTGCGGCGTAGCTACGGCTTTGGCCAATAGAAGGAATAGGTTGATTATAATTCTGTTCTGTATGGTGATGGTCATGGTGAAGGTGATGGTCATGATCATGGCGATGGCGGTGATGGCGAGGATGGTGGGGATGACGATGACGATGTTGTTGATGATGGCATCGAGGATTGCGCTTGTGAGTTTGAATGATAAACCCTAAGCCCTAATCCCTAAACCCTAACTATAGTGCTACTGTTACCATTAGTTGTTCGTGTCGTTGGTGTTGTTGTGTTGTTGGCGGCGGCATGTGCGATGTTTTGTACGGCTGAACACGCTCATCCCTAGGTCATTCTGGTTCTTACTCGTGAACGTGTTCTTTTTTTATTATTATTGATATTGCTGTTATTTGTTATTATTTCTACTATTATTTCTACTAGTACCATTGCCATTACCACTACCATTCCCATTACTAATACTATTACTATGACTATGATTATTCGTAGCATTATTATTTTTCTTCTTCTTGTATTCTTATTACTATTCATGTTTGTATTTTAGGATTATTCATTTTTGTGATTATTGCTGACAGCCTATTCTACTGCTGCACTCCTGTGTTGTAGAGTCTGCATTTTCTCGCTGTGGAGCTCGGACTTCAACATGCTGGCACACAGAAGGCTGGAAGCTGTTCCTTAGGAAGCCGTCCGTTACGTCACATCATACCTTGCTGTGCTGAGAGCCGGCTTTGTAGCATATTGCATACGGGCGCAGTGCCTTAGACTTGAAGTAGTTCATGCCATATATCACATGTCTTGTGCAATGTTCCTATTGTAGACTGCGAATATGAGGATGGCGAGGGCGAAACCTCCATGGAGAGGGGTTGAACGCCTAGAAGACCCAAACCTCCCTCGGACTACAACCACAGTGGGTGTTGGGCTTTTAGCTGAATTCCCACTTAGCTTTTTTTTACATTTTTTTTTGTGAAGCCTGGTCGTGCGAAGCACCCAAAAGACCCTACACCGTAGACTACAAGGGTTCAAACCTAAACCCTAAACCCTAAACGCTAAACCCTAAAGCTCGTGGCTTCACTGGGGAGGTGGCGAAAGGGAGGCGGGAGAAAGCCGCCCAGCGAGAGCAGCCGCATGCTCAGTCGACGGTTCTCACTCAGTTCAGGAATTTGGGGGGTTTGGGGTTTCAGGGTTTTCGGGTCTTAGGGGTTTTAGGGAATAGGGTTTTGGGGTTTGGGGTTTCAGGGTTTTCGGATCTTGGGGTTTTAGGATCTTAGGGCTTTAGGGTGTTTAGAGTTTAGTAGGAAACGGTACGGGCATCATTCAAAGTTTTTGGCAACCTCCCCCCCCCCCCCCTTCTCTCAGAAGTAGGGCGGTAAGGCCGGCGAGGTTCAGGGCTTCACGTTAATTCACGGTAGTTTCAACTTCTGGGTTTTCCTTCCTTGGTGCAGATGTAAGTTTACAGCTTGAGGTGGCTTGCAGGCCATCAACTTTAGGGTTTAGGGTTTAGGGGTTAGGGTTTAGGGTTTAGGGTTTAGGGTTTAGGGGTTAGGGTTTAGGGTTTAGGGTTTAGGGTTTAGGGCCCCTAAGCCTCAAGCTCTAAGAGGCCTGGCACGGCTGAAGCCACGGCCCCCTCTCCCCCAACCCCCACCCGCCATTGCTGGTTGTTAAGGGTCTATTCTTGACGGTTGCCCTAAACCCTAAACCCTAAACCCTGAACCCTGAATTTTGAACCTTAAACCCGAAAAGCTAAACGTCCTGAAAGACCCTGTACCATCCTAAGGAGCAAGCAAGGTCACCCTTGTCATTCTTAAGGTTAAGGGCTTAGGAGCCTGAACTTGTTGACATTACTTGGAGGTTCATGGATAGTGATAAGAGTTAGACGTGTAGTAAACCCTAGACCCTAAACCCTAAACCCTAAACCCTAAACCCTAAACCCTAAACCCTAAACCCTAAACCCTAAACCCTAAACCCGAAACCCTAAACCCTAAACCCTAAACCCTAAACCCTAAACCCTAAACCCTAAACCCTAAACCCCCAAAAAAATGGCCCTGAAGACTTGACCCCACCCTACCGCGTCAAAGCCCCCAGCCCGAAACAGTCACTCTTTTCCCCCAAGCCTTCTCACCCTTCTGCCTAGGCTTCTAAGGTCCCTAAGCCCTAAAGTCCCTAAACCCTAACGTCCCAACCATGAGTCTCTAAACCCTAAACCCTAAACCCTAAACCCTAAACCCTAAACCCTAAACCCTAAACCCTAAACCCTAAACCCTAAACCCTAAACCCTAAACCCTAAACCCTAAACCCGAGAAGGCAGGCCCTCCTCCGCCGCCTGGCCGGGACCCTGACGGAGACGCGGCGCAGCACGCTGGATGCCTGGAAGAGCTGGATCCAGGCTGGAGTTTTTTTTTTTTTAGGGGGGTAGGGTTGAGGGTTGAGGGCTGAGGGTTTAGGCTTCAGTGGGGTTTAGGGATTTCGGGGGCTAGGGTTGGGGGATTTGGGGGGTTTTGGGGCTTGAAGGAATTGTGAGTCTCTCTGTCTCCACCTAAACCCTCAACCGGCCTGTCTTGTCCAAGCCTTGCAATTGGCCAACACCCTTTGCGTATATGCCGACAAGAAAAACAGACAACAACTGCGGGTTCAGGGGGTTGTTGGGCTTTCAATGCCTAGCGCGTGTGGGTTTAAGTTTGGGCTTTATTGTCAACCCGAAACCCTCAGAGGTGTGGCTTGGGACGAAAATCTGCGACGCCCCTCGAAACCACCCGCATGACAAGCTTGATTGCCTGCTGTCAGAAGCACCTTAACCCTCCTGAAAACACACTTTTCTCCCCAAACCCCTCTTTGCCAAAAGCCCTGAACCCTAAACCCTAAATCGTCACCATGTTGGTTTTTGGAGAACGTTGAGACGCCAGGCACGGAAGATAGCCCGCCGGCGCTTGGCGCAAGGGCATGCCGGGCGCTTGGCAGGGCGGGATGGAGCCGAGGGGACATGAACGGGGTTCAAGGTTTATAGGGTTTAGGGTTTAGGGTTTAGGGTTCAGGGTTTAGGGTTTAGGGTTTATAGGGTTAGGGTTTTTGGGTTGAGGGTTTAGAGTTTAGGGTTTAGGGACTAGGGACGGAACTATAGATCTGAGCTCTGTTTTCTGCCCGCTCTCCCTTTGGGATCCAATGACCGAGAACGATCGCATCTAGCTTACGAGTACACCAAGGCTAGGTATGCCCTGAGCCCTAAGCCCTAGACCTTAAACCTTAAACCTTAAAGCCCTCGAAAAGAACCCCAAGCCTTTGATGTGGTCTGGTTCTTGAGGTACATGTAATTTTTAAAGCATTGCACCCAGCTGGTTTCAGGCTTTCTGAATTTAGGGTAGAGGCGTCTAGGTCTGGGTAGGTTTGGGGAGGTTTGGGGAGGCTTGGGGGAGGTTTGGGAGAGGTTTGGGATAAGGGTTTCGACATCTCCCGGTCGGTGGTGAGGGGTTTGCTGTCGAATTGCTGGGGGAACAACACTGGCAGCCCTTACTGCAATACTATATTTATGCCCCCAAACGCTGGCCCTCAACCCGAAAACCGTAAACCTCGACCCTAAACCCGAAACCCTAAAACGCTAGAACCCTCAAACCCTACGACCCTAAACCCTCGACCCTAATCCCTAAAACCCTAGAACCCTAGAACCCTAGAACCCTAAAACCCTAAGCCCCCCAAAGCCCACTTGGAGATAACCTTGGCGAAGGCCCGAGCCGCCCGTCGGATTGCCAGGAGCCTGGTAGGGATATGGTCTGTCGGGTTTACAAGCAGAGCATATGCAGGTATGCTGCTTATGCACTCGTTTAGATATGCATATATATATATATATATATACATATGTATGTATGCATATGTGTACATGAACATGTTTTTTTGCACACATACTGCTGAGGGTTCAGGGTTTAGGGTTTTGATACCTAGGCCCGGCTTGGTTACCTTGGTTCGTCATTGACTGTCTCTTCTTCTTTCTTCTTTTTGTTTTGGGGGGCGGGGCAGGTGAAGGGTTACACACAGAGATTCACTGCTACCTTAGGCCTATAGACCTTACAGGTCATGCATGCTAGGGGCTACCCCTTCCCGGCGGAGGTTGTGCGGGCGTCGGTGGTTGGGGCGCCTTTGGGTCTCGGTGGGGATAGAGATTCTCGGCTTAGGGGGTCAGATGTTGGGTTTGGGAGGGCTTCTTGGTTCTGGGGAGTTTGACTCTTGTCAGCAGGTCCCCATAGCCCAACCTCTCCTCCAAAACTGGACAGGCAGAGAGGTTTACACACCGGGTTGCTTGTCTGTATAATAAGGGTACCCCCAAGAAAATACCTCAAGTGTAAGAGGACCCTAAAGCTCAAACTCTAAACTCAAACCCTAAACCCCGAAGAAGGGCCCAGGGTTGTTCAGTGAGGCAGAAAATGACGAGCCACTGCTGATGTTGTCCTTCCAGGCCCCCAGCGAATTGGTGTGGGTTTCGGATGCGCGGTAGGGGCATGTTTACGGGCAAACTGTCAACCAACCCTAAATCCTCCTCCCAAGCCCCCAGGCCCTGAGTTCTCTTCACCTCATAGGGCCCAACACGCCATACCCCAGGGACCGGCGAGAGAGAAAAATGGGCATCTGCTAAGGTTTAGGGTATGGGGTTTGGGGCTTGACGCGGACTTGGAGCCATTCCGCGCCATAGTGAAACAGCGAATTGGGTTTCTCACCCGCACAGGAGGTGAACCTGGGGTTCACGGGCTCATGGGTTCAAACCCTAAACCCTAAACCCTAAACCCTGAACCCTAAACCCTAAACCCTAAACCCTAAAACCTAAACCCTAAACCCTAAACCCACGATTAGTAGGCCTCTAGGGATGGCCTCTGTAATGAGGACCCTATCTAGGGCACTTCGGACCCTAAGAAGTAGAGCCATGAAAGCTCCCCCAGGGTGAGGGCAATCGGGCTCTCGGAGTTTAAGGTTTAGTCCCAAATCGAGGGTTTAGGGTTTAGGGTTTAGGGTTTAGGGTTTAGGGTTTAGGGTTTAGGGTTTAGGGTTTAGGGTTAGGTGTCCTCTTTTTCGGCTCTTCAGGCCCTGGGGTTTAGAGGCTTCGGGCAAAGGGGCTGGCCTAAGAAGCCGTCAAGCCCTGTCCTCCAGTCGAAGGGCTCTAGGTAGGCCCTCAGGAGATTTCATATTCTCCCTTCTTGGGTTTAAGAGGATCATCGTCAGGAATATCCCTAAACCCTAAACCCTAAACCCTAAACCCTAAACCCTAGACCCTCAACCCTAAACCCTAAACTTTTTTCAGATGGTTTCAAAAGGGCCACCCGGTCCTGCGGCTTTTTCGTTTGGAGTCCCGGACCCTGGCACTCCTTAAGGTTGGCCCGCCCCACAGGCCCCGCAGCTTTGGCACCCCTGAACACCTAAAGCCCCCAAACCTTAGGGTTTAGGGTTTAGGGTTTAGGGTTTTGGGTTTAGGGTTTAGGGTTCAGGGCTCTCAAACCCTCATCCCCAAATCCTCAACCCCTCCAAGCCTTTCTCAGCTCAAGGCCTTCCGCCTCGTGCACGTCGAGCGCCAGGCGCGCTTGCAGGCGCAGGAGAAGCCGGCGGCCCAGGAATAAGGGAACGCCACTGTAGCTGCCTGTATAGGGTTTACAGGGTTTACAGGGTTTAAGGGTTTAGGGTTTAGGGTTGAGAGGGCGCTTTCTGAAGCCTTTAAAACAACTTTGGGGTTACGTGTTTAGGCGAGTTTAAGGGTATCGGTTTCAGGGCTCGAGTGCGAGCATAAGAGACTACCGCAGGGTTACATTGGGATTTCAAACGGGGGAGCCTCTGCCCCCCCACTGCTTCATAGACCACCAGAAAGTTTGCAGTCCATGGAGCTCCGAATCCTGCCAGTCATGGACGGCACCGGGGTCGCCAACGGCGAGGTGCCACTTCGACAAGCTGATGAAGACGGTGGACCAGGCGGTTGAGGCCCTCATGGCGGCTAAGCCGGTTTTGATTCTATTGCCGCATCGGGACCCCACAGGAGCGCCCACTTTGTGCGTGCTCAGAAAATGCGCATACCAAAGCTTTCAGCGGACGAGTTGCAGACCCTCCTCAACTCTGCCAGAAACGTCGTCGACTTGGAGTCTCGAGCGCCCCCGAACAAGAACCGGGACCTAATTCTCACAACCTTCGGTGGACCTGTTTCATGGGTGTTCGGGTTTAGGGTTTAGGGTTTGGGGTTTAGGGTTTAGGTTTTAGGGTTAGGCGTTTAGGGTTTAGGATTTAGGGTTTAAGGTTTAGGGTTTAGCGATATATAAACAAAGGGGGCAATCGTAGCTCCAACAGGGTATAGGGCTTAGGTAGGCTTCAGAGATGGGGTCGGGATCGCTGGTCTCGCGTTCCAACTGCGACATCGCAGTCGCCGTCGTGTGCTCGCACGCCAACTTTTACTAGTAGGGTTTTTTTCCCGTTAAAAAACCCTTATTGGGTTTAGGGTTTTTTAACGTTAAAACGCCCTAAGTGTGCCAGAGCATAGCAGCACTTCTCCGAACGAGATCTGCGGGAGAGACGGGTCGGAATAGTCAAGAATTCGTATCCCCTCGTAGTCCTTATAAAATGTACCATGCTATGCTAATTGTGGGGGGGGGGGGGGGGGGCGGAACCCTGAACCTACAGTAAACCCCTCAACCCCAAAACACCTAAACCCGCAGCCCATAAACCCTAAACCCCCAAACCGTAAACCCCCAAGCCCTACCCCCCCTCAACCTCTAAACCCAAGACCCTAAACCCTAAACCCTAAACCCTAAACCTTAGAACCTTCTACAGACCCCGGCCGAGGTGCAGCATCTACCAAAGGCGTGCTGCTGCCAGAGATCGGGCTTCGGCAGAGCGACAGGGCCCAGAGCTTCAGGGGGGCTTAGGGGCTTAGGGTTTAGGGTTTGGTGGTGTAGGGTTTTCAGGTTTAGGGTTTAGGGTTTGGGGGCTTAGGGGTTAGGGGTGTAGGTTTTAGGGCTAAGGGTTTAGGGCTTGGTGGTGTAGGGTTAGGGGGTTTAGGGTTTAGGGAGCGGGGTTTGGTGGTGCAGGGTTTTGGGGGTTCAGGGTTTGGGGTTTAGGGTTTGGTGGTGTAGGGTTTTGGGGGTTTCAGGCGTCCGAGTTGAGTGCTGTAAGGTTTGAGGGTTCAGGGTTTAGAGCTCAGGGATCAGGGTTTAGTTGCAGGCTTCTTGGGTTCAGAGTTTGTAGAGTAGGGTCTGGGGGTTTAGGCGATGCCCTGGCCTAAGGGTGTGAGGTTAGGATGTCAGGTATCTTCCCCCCCTCCCCCTAATTGCAAGTCATCACCCCCCCTAACCATTCTTTTTGGGTCACTTCGGCCAGCCCCGACCCTGCAAAGACACCGGGTTTAGGGTTTAGGGTTTAGGGTTTAGGGTTTAGGGTTTAGGGTTTAGGGTTTAGGGTTTAGGGTTTAGGGTTTAGGGTTTAGGGTTTCGGGCGTAAGAGTCCCTCGATCTCAACACCCTCAAGCCTTGAAGCCTTAGACCCTCAACCCTCAAGCCTCCACCCTGGCTAGTGGGAGCCTGCGCCTGAGGAAAACTGCGATGCAGCCTGGCGCTCAGCATGTCTGTCTCAGAGCCCTGACAGGGCCCTAACCTATATCCTCCTTGGGAATTATATTTTATTTTTGTTTCTGTAAAACCCAAGAGGATATTAAAGATAATATTTCTATTCAGGTTTCAACTGGGCGTACATTGGGAGCTGCAGCCCAGCCCTTCACACAATCGCAGGGCATGACCGACATGTACACTCAGTTGAGGTAGGCCAAGGTTGGCCCGTTTTGAAATACAGGGGGTTTCACTTAAGGAGGTTTGGGTAGTTTTGGGGGGTTTTACAGCTTGTGCACTTTGGCTTTTGTTGCGTTCTCATGTTTTTGGGGGGGAGGAGTTTAGGGTTGAGGGTTTTGGGCTTTGGGTGTTGGATTTTGGGTTTAAGGTTGCGAGGGAGGAGGAGGAGGTCCTGAATAACGCCCAGTTACTTACTTGGCTGCTATGAGGGGCCACTCTCCTCTCCAAGGGATTTTAAAGGTCTGGCTTAGGGCTGTTTTGGGTTTAGGGTTTAGGGTTTAGGGGTTAGGGGTTAGGGTTTAGGGTTTAGGGTTTAGGGTTTAGGGGGGCGGATCGTCAAATGGGGCAAGGTGGCGGGGGGGGGGGGGGGGGGGGGGGGGGGGGGAGGTGTGGGGGGTTTTAAGAATTTGTTGTCAAACTCTTAACCGTCTAAACCCTGACAGACCCTGACTGAGCCTGAACCTTACACCCTAGGGAGAGGGGAGTGCGGCAACGCTGTTGAGGTACATGGCGATTCCGATGCCTGCATTTCAACCCCTTAAACCCTAAACGCTTTAAACCCTAAACCCCAAACCCTAAACCCTGAACCCCAAACCCCCCCAAACCAACCCCAAACCCCAAACCCCAAACCCCAAACCCCAAACCCCCCCAAACCCAAAACCCCAAACCCCAAACCCCAAACCCCAAACCCCAAAAACCCCAAACCCCACCCCAAACCCCAAACCCAAACCCCAACCCCAAACCCCAAACCCCAAACCCCAAACCCCAAACCCAAAACCCCAAACCCCAAACCCCAAACCCCAACCCCCAAACCCCAAACCGCAAACCCCAAACCCCACCCCAAACCCCAAACCCCAAACCCCAAACCCCAAACCCCAAACCCCAAACCCCAAACCCCAAACCCTAAACCCCAAACCCTAAACCCTAAACCCCCACCCAGGCAGGACTTCGCGCTGCTCTCCCGGTCCATCCTGGGCTGGCGCCTCTTGGCCCTGGTCGCGCCGGCGTGGGGGCTTTCCGGGCTGTTTTCGGGTTTGGGAAGTAGGGTTTAGGGTTTAGGGTTAGGGTTTAGGGTTTAGGGTTTAGGGTTTAGGGTTTAGGGTTTAGGGTTTAGGGTTTAGGGTTTAGGGTTTAGGGTTTAGGGTTTAGGGTTTAGGGTTTAGGGTTTAGGGTTTGGGGAAGTAGGGTTTAGGGTCTACTCGGAGGTTCATGGGTAGAAGTAGGCCAGGTTTATCAAGCAGGGTAGCCCTTTCGCTCTAAACCTTATTGGGGCGGGGCACTTTGTAGCCCTACTTTACAACTACCCCGTGTCTCTTCAAGTCGGGCTTTGGGATTCCCAGGTTTCACGGGCTGTTGGGTTCAGGGGTTCCCACATATGATCAGTTCCGTAAGTGGAGTGGTCGCTAAACCCTAAACCCTAAACACTGAACACCCAAGCCCTACAACGACGTCGCCAGGTCGCGGGCGCAGTTTGCCGGGAGCGGAGGCGCCTCGCACGCACCGCTGGGCTCGGCAAAGCCTGTGCCAGATGCCCAGAGTCCGCTGGGTCGGGCTGGGGGCTTTTTTGAGGGTTTAGTTAGAGATTAGGGTTCAGGGATGTTCAGGGTTCAGGGTTTAGGGTTTCGGGTTTAGGGTTTGGGGCTTTCCTAAATTGAGGACAGCCTTTCTGGGGGTCCTATGACAAGGATTATCGCATTCGGGGCTTTTGAAGGAGGATCACGTCTTTGGGGAAAATACTAACGTGTTTGGAGGGGGTACGCCTGAAGCACTGTGCCCTTAGGTCAGTGTGCTCCAAGAAGCTTCTAATTCTGAGGGTCCACGGCCGTCGGTCAGGGTTTACGAGGGGGGGGGGATGCAAACAGGACTTTGTGGTTTGGGATGAAGTTCTGGGTTTCACCCTACGGTTGCTTCCGTTGCCAGTATGTAAGGCTCCCAATTGAAAGTGGTTGCAGTTCGCCCCCAGAATGGGCTCCCTAACTACGAACAGACCAGAGACAAAATTCTCCAGACTTTCGAGGCTTGGAGCTACGGGTTGGCTCATTTAGGGTTTAGGGTTTCGGCTTTAGGGTTTAGGGGGCTCGGGGGATCTCGCGTGTCGGGTTCAGTCTGACAGCCTGTGAAGCCTGTAGGGCTTGGGGCTTCGGGTTTATGAAGATGTAATCTCGGAATATTTGGGCGTAAGCTCTGAAAAGAATTCGCATGGTGATCGGATGTAGAGCGGTTTTTGCTCTATGTGCCCTACTCGACCCAAAGTCTTGCGAAGGAAGAGCTCTATGTTTTACGATGTTTTGCGATTTGGGAGATTTGCTTCCAGGGCTTAGGGCCTTAGGGTCCAGGCGTTCACGCTTTGCAGCTTAGGGCTTTTCAAGATTTTAGGGTTACAGGGTTCAGTAGGTTTCAAGATTTTAGGGTTATGGGGTTTAGTAGGCTTCAAGATTTTAGGGTTATAGGGTTTAGTAATGTGTTCTTGGCTTTCAGGGGCGTTCGTATCTTCATCGGCGGGTTCAGATTGAGAAGGCACCCCCTTACCGAGCTCATTCCCAGTTTAGATGGCCCAAACTTGGGATTCAGAACGGGGGGCAGAAGGATTTCTGGAATACCCCAACCCTAAACCCTAAACCTGTTCGGGCAGATGTTGCTAACCCAAGCCAAAACACGTGAGATCCGAAATCCCCTCAACCTTGAAGCCCTCAAAGTCTTAAACCCTAAACCCTAAATCCTGAACCCCAATTCCCCTTAAACCTACTTTACCTCAGAGCCCTTGAAGCTCTCAAAGCCCTAAACCCTAAAGCCCAAACCCCAAACCAATTTTCAGAGCCATGGCCGCCTCGTTGCTGCTTGTGCTGCTGGCTGAAATGGTTGCCCAGAGTGCCGCCGACGTCGTGGCAGTCACAGGGGCACCCTGGGGGTGGGAGGGGGGACAGAGGCCCTGGTGTCGGTTTAGGGTTTGGGGGTTGGGGTTTCAGGTTTAGGGTTTAAGGTTAAGGTTTAGGATTTGGGGTTAAGGGCTTGCACCTAAAACCAAAACTCGGAGAGCGCCCCCCCCCCCCCCCCCTACCCACAGTTGTTTGAGCAGACTTGCAGGGGACAGCTGGGTGATTTGGGTCTTGACCTAGCGGGCTTTGGGATGTAGGGATCTTAGACCCTTAGGCCCAGAAGTTGCGCCCGCCACATCCAAGCCCTAAACCCTAAACTCTAAACCCTAAGCCCTCCATGTGCTGGCAACACTTCTCTTAGGAATGCCCATGCATCAAGCACCCGTTGGTACGGATTGCGAGCACTTGGGTGTTTGCTTGCCCCTTTGTTCCATTGGTTTTCAGTAGCTCTCCGACCAAAGTCCAACAGGTAGAGGGCAGCCGGTTTAGGGTTTTAGGGTTTAGGGTTCATTCCGCTATTCTGTAAGTGCTGGTAGCCTTTAAAGGTTCACTTTGGCGAGGCGACCGGGAAGCTTGGACGGCACGCTGTCCAGCAGCTCGTCGAGCAAGGCTGCTGGGGAGACCTGGACTCAGGGCGCCCTAAACCCTAAACCCTAAACCCTAAAGCTTGTAGTGCAAGTTTAGGGTTTAGGCTTTCGGGTCTATGAATTAGGGTTAGTAGTAGTTTAAGAAGCCACATTCGAATGGTCCAACGGGGTTCCCTGGAAGTTCTTGTCCGAAACAATGAGGCTCCCGGTGCACACTTAAGCATTCTACCCCTGGAACCCTTCAAAGGGCCATGTTGGCCCCCTTGAAACTTTGTCCCCTAACCTTCGTGAGAACCATGTCCCAGGCTCACAAGCCTTACCCTGGTCGGAGGCCACGCCGTGCGCTGCCTCTCGCGCGCCGCGCCCACGACGCCCAGCAGTGGCGAGGACGCTGCGGCGGGCGAGGTTGGGGGTTGTGCGGTTAGGGCGCCGTGTTTTTTACCCTAAACCCCAAACTAAACCCTAAAACTTATGAACCCTCATGAGGGGGTTTAGGTGGGTTTTTGATTTGGATTTGGGTTAGTTCCATGACTAGCCTCCGAGGGCAAGTACATCAGCATTCCACTGTAGAGGGACCTCCCGAACCCTGAGCATGGAGACCTCGGCATCCCCTAAGCCCAGTTAGGGTTTGGGGTTTAGGGTTTAATTGGGGTTTGGGGTTTGGGGTTTAGGGTTTAGGGTTTAGGGTTTAGGGTTTAGGAACCCTAAAACCCCAAACTCTATAAGCACTGAAGCCTAAAGCTTGCTTTAAGTCCCTGAGCTCGTATTGTTCGGCGAGACGGTGCCCTCCGTAGGTTGCCGCGTGGTTGGCGACGCTTCCCGGCGTGGAAGTGTTCCAGGTCTGGAGCGGAGTAGAGGGGGGGGGGGGGCCCTGAACTCTAAACCCTAAACCCTAAACCCAAAACCCTAAACCCTAAACCCTAAACCCTAAACCCTAAACCCTGAACCCTGAACCCTGAACCCTAAGGCCTTACAAAGCCTAAGCCCCCGAATCCAGTAGCTGTGAGGGTGAGGTCAATACCAAACCAGCGAGTCAGGAACTTTTCTGCTCTGTGTTCAGAGGACACTGACTGAGAATTCCTTGCCTGACAAGTATAGGTATGCAGCGTTGAAATGTGAGGTCTTTCGTTTATACATGTCAAAATATTTGCGTTTATCTTGCAGCCTATGGTGCCCGCCCTCCCCCACAAAAAACACAAACTCAGGAACTGCTGTCTTCATTCGCGAGCCTGTCTATTTGAACAGGGCCCCGGAGCCAAGCGCCAAGCATAATTTGGTCAGGGCGAGGTCACGGACAGGAAGAAGCTCATGGAGCTGCTGCAAGGAAGCCATCAGCTGAGGGTTTTATAGGGTGCTTGCGAGTTGTTGAGGGACTAGGGGAGGCCTTCACCTTTTCGCCCGCGAAGGGTTAGCCTCGAAACCTGGAACCAGCATTCTGCAGAGTCAGCGGTTTTGGGGTTTAGGGGTTAGGGGCTCAGGGTTAGGGGTTTAGGGTTTAGGGGAAGATATGGGGCTCCAACGCTGAACCTTGAGCCCCACAAGCCCCAGAAGCCCCAGCAGCTCCGAGAAAACGCGGGAGGATGTAGCGCTTGCCTGGCCCTCCATGGGGCCAAGCGAACCACCAAGATCTCGGATTTCCTTCCCTGGGTGGATGCCCCTCAGCTTGCATGGGTGTTTCCACAAAAGGGCGGCGGGGGGGGCGGGGGGGAGGCACTACACTAAACCCTATACAACTCGAGTCGGACCATGGCTGAGCTGGCCAAATCCCGCATCTCTCTCAACAGTCCATTAGGTAACCTTTACTGCTATTGCTTCTTTTCTTATCCTCAATATACAGTAGTCCCCAAGCCTAGGCCCTTCAACCAAACCCCCTCCTCATATCCAACACGCTCAAAACACATGTTCAGCATCACTGCCGTTCGATTCTATTTTTGTTTCCGTTTTGTGGGTGGGGGGGATGTTTCGGGGGGGATGGTTTAAGGCTAGTGTTCCCACCACGTTAAAATCCCAAACAAACCCCGGTACTGTACCAATTTTGGAGGCATTTTTTCCCCCAACAAGGAGTCCTTGGATCCGAACCACGGGAAGCAGGCGGGATGGGGACTGGGCGAGGGAGGTGGGGGTGGTTTAGGGTTTAGGGTTTATAATAGGGTTTAGGGTTTAGGGTTTAGGGTTTAGGGTTTGGGCACTTGGGAGGGGGGAGGGGGTTTGCGGATCAAGACCCCAACAAGCTACGAAGTCCCGCTTAGCTCCTGCACACATGTAGACATCTCGAAATCCTAAGCCTTAAGCCAGCCTAGCTAATAGTTGAACCTGAATCACCCTAAGTTTCCTTATCTGAACCCTATAAACCGTAAATCCCAAATGCTCAAACTTAAACTTAATTGTTGATGGAGACGTGATTACACTGCTTTTTCCGCCTCTAAAAACTCACAAAGCCGCAGGTGAACTGTGAAGCCGTGGGCTATCTTCTTGATGCAGCTGTGGCGAACGGTTCCGCGCCCCAGCACTGCCAGAAGTGAGTGTAGGGTGTAGGGGGGTGGGAGGGGGCTTGGGGGGGTTGGGGTTGGGGGCTTGGGGGTCGGGAGGGTCTTCTGCCCAAGACATCCGAAGCTCTCTGAAACAAGTTGTTTTTCCTAACAGCAATTCCACACTGGTGACAAATTGGAAACCCACATGTCACATACCCATTCCCGACTCCCGAAAAGCCCGCCCGCATGATGGTAACTTCCTAACTGTGACCCTGGGGCCACTTTTTTTGCCTGTATATGAACATGGGCGATACTCATACTGCACTAGGGATCCGATCAATGACGGCCAGGGCCCCTCAAGCCCCTGCAAAACCCGATGCCCCAAACCCTTAGGCCTTTTGGAACCCTTAACCTCTGAACCCTCCATGGGCCAGAAGAGCAAAGATAAGTCCTGCTTCCTCCGCAATCAGGCTGCAAGCGCCTCGTGCGGGTCACGGGCAAGGTACGCCTCGCGACCTTGTAGGGGCTTAGAGCATGGCCGCGCCAGTGACATCTACTCATGTCCTGTGCCGCACTTGCGCCACTTGCT